GCGCGGGCCCGCCGCACAGCGCGCCCCCGGCGGCCGCCCCAGCGGCAGCTGCAGCCCGCCGGGCGAGCGCGCCACAAGGCGTCGCGCCGCCGCCACCGCCGCCCTCGTCGTCGGCGTTGTCGTCGTCGGCGTCGTCGTCGGTCGTCGTCGTTGTCATTGTCGTTGTCGTCGTCGTCGACGGCGTCGTCGTCGTCGTCGTCGGCGCCGTCGTCGTCGTCGTCGTCGTCGGCGTCGTCGTCGACGTCATCGTCGGCGTCGCCGTCGTCCTTGGAGACCGCTGGAGACCTCTGGAGGCCGCCGAGAGACCGCTGGAGGCCTCTGAACGACGCCGCCGGGCGCGCCTGCCTCCTGGGGCTCCACAGACTGGGCTCGGAGGACGCAGCGTTTGCCCACGGCTCGGCCCTCCGCCGCGGGGCACCCCGCAGCACCAGGCCTCTGGCCGTTGTGGGGAGGCGCAACGGGCGTTATGTTGGCGATGTGTCGGGACGATCGAAACCGGTATGGCAAAGATCGGCTGCATGTCCTGATCATTTTGAAGAACATTCGTGGTCGATGTCGCCGCGGGCGTTGTCCGTTCGAGGCAGTCGGCCGCCTGCCCAACAGCGGCCGCTGTCGGTTTTGGACAACCGTCACTATTGGGCATCGTACCAATGTTTTCCCTACCCATGTCGGGCGTGCCAAGCTTGGGCGTTACCGTCGTCGCCGCTGTCGGTGTCGTCGTCGCCGTCGCCGCCGTCCTCGCTCTTCTGCCCCAGGACCATCAAGAAAGTGATCGGCGACGGAAAAACGAATCTCGGGATGGGTTCGAAGGCCCAGGTCGTGAAAAGTCACTGCGTCGCAGGTCTCGGGACGGTCTTCGGCACTTGATGTAAAAACAAGCGCGTGCGGTCTCGGAAGGTTTTCGGATGCTCTCCTCGGTGTCCGGAGTTGTTCGGGTACTTTGCGGGGTCTCTGCAGGTTTCCCGATGCTTCTCAGGGAGCACCGCCACATCCGGGCGTAGTGAAAGAACGCGAAGGACATTCCTGCGCAGTCTCGAGCCCCAGGACTCACGGAGCGATCTGGCCCGGGCAATTGTTGCGGTCTTTTTCTTCACGACGTCGTATGTTTTCGCGAGGTCGGATGGCCAACTTGGCAGCCATTTTGGCTCAGGCCACTTTTTTCAGCGAGGGAGAGAGAGAGTGCCGGGGGGAGAAGCCCGGAAGCGCGCCGGTGGCGCCATCGCCCGGGGGCCTGGGGGCCCATCCGTCCCGCTTACGACTTTTTTGCGTCCCTCGCGCGCTCGTTCGCGGGCAGCCTGGCGACCTGCCACGCGCGCCATTCGAAGAAGAAGCAGCGGCATGAGCATAAATTTTCGGCGCTCCGCGAGGATCTCTTGGGTCGGCGCTGGGGCCCCCTGGCGGCGCCTCTGGCGCCGCCCCTGGCGCGCGGAGCGCGCCAGGGCGGGGGGATCCAGCGCCGGTCCAAGAGATCCGCGCGGAGCTCCGAGGGTTTCTGCTCCTGCTGCAGCTCCCTCTGGCCATGCCCGCCGCAGCCGAGATGCGGCTGTCGCATCGCCCTGCCACCCTGCTGTGCTTCGCGGCGCTGGCGCTGACGGCCTGCCAGGCGAAGCTGACCAGCCCCTTCCAGCCCTCGGGACCCCAGGCCGAGGGCCAGCAAGGAGTGCACGGGAGCACGCTTCGGCGGCGCGCCGAGAGGGGGGGCGGGCCGTCTTGGGGCCGTCCTATGCCGTTTTGGGGGTATCCTGGGCCGTCTTGGGGCCCTCTGGTCGTATGGTGGGTGTCTGAGGGCCGTCGTGGGGCCGTCGCAAGGCCTTCACTGCCTTGGAGCCGTTGTTGGGCTATCGTGGGACTTCTTGGGCCAGTCGGGGGGAGGGGGGGGGGGGGCAATCGAAGAAGAAAAGAGCGCACAACACGAATTTGCAGAGGTCCGCGCGGATCTCTTGGATCGGGTCTGGCCGCCCCGCGACGATCCAGGACATCCGCTCGGACCTCCGAAAGTTTGTGTGTCATGCAGTTTGCTCCTCCTCTGGGCAAGCTTTCTCAGAGGGCGCCGGGGCTTCTAGGAAGCCCTCTGGCCTTGTGAGAAGCCGCCAGTGGCTTCACGGAGAAGGCTGAGAGAGCTTCTCTGAAGGCCAGAGGACACCTGAGTGAGTTTTCCGGGCAGGCCCGCCTGCTCTGCCTTCCCCTCGGCGCGCCGCCGAACGTTGGCGTTCGGAGGTCCGCGCGGATATCTTGGGTCGGCACTGGGCAGCCCCAAGCCGCAGGGGCGCCTCCAGCGCCGCCCATGGCATGGCACCTTCGGCGGAGAGGGGCAGCGCTGGCCAACGGAGAGATCCGCGCGGACCTCCGAAAGTTTGTCCCTGTCGGTGTCAGTGTCTGCGTGTGTTGTGTCTGTGTGTCTGTGTTGTTTGTGTCTGTGTGTATGTCTGTGCCTGTGTCTGTGTCTGTGTGTCTGTGTGTGTTCGTCTGCGTGTGTTTGTGTGTGGTGTGTGTTGTTTGTTGTGTTTTGTGTGCTGTGTGTTGTGTGCTGCGGGTGGTGTGCTGTGTCTTGTGTCTTGTGTCTTGTGTGCTGTCTTTTGTGGTGTGTGTCTTGTGTGCTGTGTGTTGTGTGGTGTGTAGTGTGCTGTGTGACGTGTGTTGTGTGATGTGTGTTGTGTTGTGTGTTGTATGTTGCGTGTTGTGCGGTGTTTGTTGTGTGTTGTGTGTTGTGTGCTGTGTGCTGTGTGCTGTGTGCTGTGTGATGTGTGATGTGTGCCGTGTGCCGTGTGCTGTGTGTGTTGTTTGTTATGTGTTTGTGTGTTTGTGTGTGTGTGTTGTGTGTTTGTGTGTTCGTGTTGTTGTATGGTGGTGTGTTGCTGGGTTTGTATTTCTCTGTGGTTGTGTGTTTGTATGTGCTTGTGTGCTCGCGTGTTCGTATGTTTGTGTGCTGGTATGTTTGTGTGTGTGTGTTGTGGTGTGGTGTAGTGTGATGTGTTGTGGTGTGTGTGTGTGGTGTGGTGTGTTGTGTTGTGTTGTCTTATGTTGTGTTGTCTTCTCTTGTCTTGTCTTGTCTTGTCTTGTCTTGTCTTATGGTGTGGTGTGTTGTGTTTTGGTGTGTTGTGTTGTGTTGCCGTGTGTTGTAGTGGATTGGCTTGTCTTGTGTTGTGTTGTGTTGCATTGCGCTGCGTTGTGTTATGTGGTGTGGTATGGTGTTGTGTGTTGTGTGTGTGTGTTCAGGCTGGTTTGGGGGATCTCTGTCAGGGCGTGGCAAGGAACGACGTCTGCCCTCCGATCGAGGTGAAGGTGGACGACAGCCCTGTCCGCTTGCCTGGCGGCCCGCTGCCGCAGTGTGGCTGCTCCGCTGGCGGGGCCGTGCCGGGACACGGCCACGTGCCGCTGGGGCCCCCCGGTGTGCCAGGCAACCAGCCGCCTAGGATCTTGCCCCAGGGTGTGTCCAAGCTGCACCTGGCCGTCACGGCGCTGTTCATGCTTGGCATAGGCTGCGGTGCCTGCAGCATCCTCGTCGTGGGCGTCGGGAACCGATCGAAGTCGGTGAGGGCGATGAGGCGGCGAATAAGACCTGCTGTGGGAGTGGCGGGCCTGTGGGCAGGCGCCCTCAGCGACGTCTTCGTGGTGTTCCCCTGGAAGGGGGCCTGCTTCCTCGTGCGCTTCGGAGTCCTGCTGCCCTTCCGCGCGGCGCGCGGCGCAGGATCCGCGTTGTTCTCTGCCCGCACGCTGAGGCTGCAGCAGAGACTCCTCGAGGAGGAAGACAACTTCGACGCCTGCGACGGCGCCGGCCGGGGTAAGCAGGCCAGGGGCGATAGAGCCAGCCCCGCCGGGCGGACCGCGGCTCTGAGAAACAGGAAGCGGCCAGCCCCTCCGGAGAAGGCGCCCGAGAAGAAGAAGGAGACCGAACAGAGGCCCGCCAGGGAGGTGGGAGGGCAATCCCTGGCCCCAGCCGCCGAGCTCGGCGGCAAGGGGTCGCCCAAGCAGGCTGCGGAGAGCGCGGATGGTGACGTGAAGTGGTGCCAGGTGCAGCGCGAGGGTCACGGCAGACGCCCCAAGCTGCCCAGGGAGCCCGCCTCCCTGGCCGAGCCCGCCTCTCTGGCCGAGCACGCTGGGCAGGCAGAAGAACGGGTCGAGCCGGCGCCGAAGGGCCATGTATTTGGCGGCGCCGCGCCGCAGTCTGCAGCCAACGACTTTGCCTCCAGCGCGCCTGTGGTCGCCGAGCTGCCAGCGGCCGCCCCGCCCGCGAAAAAGGCGATGGCCAAGCCGACGAAAGCTGACGAGACCAAGGCGGCGCAGCTGCCAGCAGCCCAGACTCACAGGTCGGCTGGGGCCCCTGCTGCGCCGCAGCAGCGCATGGCTGGGGCGTCGCCCGAGCCCGCGCCCGCCGTGGCGTCCGCGGCGAACAGCGCGCCACTCCCAGTCGCCGCGCCGCGGCCAGCGCCCAAGGCTCGACCGCGCGGCCAACCCAGTGCAGGCGCAGCGCTCGCTGTACCCCGCAGCCCGGCAGCCGTGCCCGCCAGGGCCAGCGTATTGGGCGCTCCAGGCCCCAAGGACGCCGAAGCCGAGGCGCCGCGGCAGAAGGAAGGCGCCGGCGGCGGGGCCGTCACTGCGACGCCGCCACAGCCGCCACCACCACCCACTCGGCAGGCAGCGCCCCCCGAGACCCTCCATTCCCCAGCGCAGAGCGCGCTGGCCCGGGCCCAGGGTCCCAAGGCGTCGCAGCGTAATACCCGGACAACGCCGCCTCCGCCACCGGCAGCCAAGGCGCCATCAGTTCCGCCTGATCTGCAGCAAACGAGCGCCGCTGGCTGCGAGGCATCGGGGCGCCCGCCAGTGCCGTCGCAGGAAGTACCCCCGCCCCCGCCCCTGGCGGGCAGAACGAAGAGCGCTTGGCATAAGCCGCACACGCTGACAACCTCGCAGGAGGCCATGCCCTGGCTGGCATCTCAGGCGACCTCGGTCTTGGCAGCTGCGGGCCCAGGGACAGAGGCTCCAGCGCCAGGCGGCACCCCGACGACCTCGACACCTGTGGAGGACCTTCATATCGAGCCGTCCCCAACGGTGTCCCCGCCACCGTCTCTGGATAAGCTCGAGGTCCGCTCTGGGGCGCCTGGACTGGGACCACCGCCGTCTTTCCAAGCCCCTGATCCCCCACCTGGGGACGCGCTGATCCAGCCTGAGGCCCAACACGCCTTGCGTATTGGAGCATACGGCGCTTGGAATACCGGCGGCACTGGCGGCACAGGGGACTTCGGCTGGGGCTCCCAGGCCATGGTGCACATGATGGCTGAGCAGGCGAGGCTCGCCCAACACTACCCGTCCTTCCCGCTCGACTGCGGCGTGGAGCTCCAGGACGGCTCTGGCGTGGAGCGCCACAGCCTTCAAGACCCAAGCGCCCAAGACCCCCGCTGGCTGCAGGTGCCGCCGCTGATGGGGGAGGTCATCCCAGGCTGCGCGCAAGTCGTGCGCGAGGAAGATCTAGGCGATGAGGATTCGCCACTGGAGGCCATGGGCGAGGCCATGGTGGAGGACCTCGTCGGCGAGTGGGACGCGGAGCCAGAGGCTCATGCGCCATCACTACTCGAAGATCTGTCGGACGCCTTCCACAAGGTCGCCGCCGCATCCGAGGCGCTGTCCAAAGTGATTGACTCTGAAATGCGCCGCTCGGCACCGACCTTCGTGCCCGGGCAGATGTGGACGGGACAGGGGCGCAGCAGCTTCGTGGATTGAGCGACTGACGGATAGTGCAGCTGCCCATGCCCCATGCAGTGCCATTTAGACTGCTCCTCATCCCTCCTCTTCCTCCTCCTCCTCCTCCTCCTCCTCCTCCTCCTCCTCCTCCTCCTCCTCCTCCTCCTCCTCCTCCTCCTCTCGGCCTCCTCGTCCTGCTCCTCCTCCTCCCTCCTCCTCCTTCTCCTCCTCCTCCTCCTCCTCCTGCCTCCCTCCTCCTCCTCCTCCTCCCTCCTCCTCCTCCTCCTCCTCCTCCTCCTCCTCTCCTCCTCCTCTCCTCCTCCTCCTCCTCCTCCTCCGCCTCCTCCTCCCCCTGCTCCTACTCCTCCTCCTCCTGGGCGCAGCTGCTTCGTGGATGGAGCGACCGGTGGATCGTGCAGCTGCCCGTGCCCCATGCGGTGCCACTTGGACCGCTCGCCCGCCGTCCGAGGAGACCGCGCCCCGTTGGCGGAAGGACCCTTCGCCACGCCGTCTCCGCCGCTCGTGCACCCCCGCGTCGCCTTCCTTCCCTGCCTGACCTTCACCACCGACCAAACCACCCCAACCCAACCCGAAGGCCCCGATTTGCCCTCCATTTCCAGTGGGGGGAGGGTCGGGGAACATTGGAAAAACACATGGAACCCGTACCCCCCCCCCAAACCCGAAATTCGGGCGAAATTCGGGTCTTCGGGTTGGGTTGGGGCGGTTTGGTAGGTAGTCAGACCTCGAAGAAGTAAAACTCATAAGCGTTCACCTTCGGAGCTCCGCGCAGATTTCTTGGATCTCCGCTGGGACCCCCCTGGCGGCGCCTCCCCTCCAGCGCCGCCCCTGGCGCGCTCCGCGCGCCAGGGAGTGGTCTCCGTGACCCAAAAGGGCGTCCAGTTGAAAGGGGTGGTGCAATAGATATGGGGCAATCGTATTGCAAGTGTACTGCACCAGAGACTTTATTACATTTCATTACAACTCGTGTATTGCACGTGAAAATCCAGCAATCCATTTGCGCCTGGAAATGTTTCCCACACCCTAAATCTATTGCAACCCCACAAATCTGGACCACCCCCATTTCGCTGGACCCCCTTTTGGATCAGCCAGGAGTGGGGTCTAGCTCCGTTTCTGGAAATCCACGTGGAGCTCCGAATGTGTATGTTGATACCGCTGTTTCCTCTTCCATTCTCGCCTTCTTCCCCCTTCCGCCGTACGTGGCGTCAGGCCTTGGCTTTTTGGTTGCCGGGCACATGGGCTGGGCACAGAGCACGCTTTTCGTAAAAAAAAAAACGGGTTGTTCTTCGCTCGCGGCCGCCAGTGCAAGATATTGTTGGAGGAGGAGGCGAGTAAAAGGAGGGAGGCAGGGGGACAAGGACGGAGGAGGAGGAAAAGAAGGACGACAACGACAACAAAGGCTACGGTGAGGACGGGGAGGGGAGGAGGGAAGAAGCGTCGACGATGAGCAGAATATTCATATGAACGGAGGGGCTAGGAGGAGGAGGAAGAACAAGCAAACGAAGAAGCGACGAGAAGAGGGAGGAGGCGAGATGGACGAAAGTCCGAGGGGGAAGGAGGAGGAAGGGGAGAAGGGCGAGGAAGGGGGGAGGATGAGGAGGAACGAGGACAAGGAGGATAAGCTGAAGGAGAGGAATCTGAAGAACTAGAGTGTGTTTTTCGGGGGTTCGCAAACAGGAGGCTTAAGACGTCAAATTCTGAGAATCCCTTCGGAAGGCGTCGGCGGCGCCCTCGCCGCCGCCGACGACGACGACGACGCCGACGACCACGACGACGACGCCGACAACGCCGACGACGACGACGTCGACGCCGACACCAACGCCGACGCCGATGCCGACGCCGACGCCGACGCCGACGCCGACGCCGACGCCGACACCGACGCTGACGCCGACGACGACGACGACGATGACGACGACGACGACGACGACGACGTGTACGACGACGACGACGATGACGACGACGACGACGACGCCGGCGCTGACGACGACGACGCCGACGACGACGACGTCGACGACGACTGCGACGACGACGACGACGACGACGACGTGTACGACGACGACGACGACGACGACCACGCCGACGACGACGACGACGACGACGACGACGACGAGGACGCCGCCGCCGACGCCGATCCCGACGCCGACGCAGACGCCGACGCCGACGCCGACTCCGACGTCGACGCCGACGCCGACGCTGACGCTGACGACGACGACGAAAACGACGACGACTAATTACGATGACGACGCCGACGACGACGACGCCGACGACGCCGTCGACGCCGTCGACGCCGACGCTGACGCCGATTTCGACGCCGACGCAGACGCTGACGACGACGACGACGACGATGACGATGACGTGTACGACAATAATGACGACGACGATGGCGACGACGCCGCCGACGACGACGACGACAACGCCGCCGCCGCCGACGCCGACGCCGAAGCCGACGACGCCGCCGCCGCCGACGCCGACGACGACGCCGACGATGATGACGGCGACGACGACGACGACTACGACAACGACGACGACGATGACGACGACGACGATGACGACGACGACGACGACGACGACGGCGGCGGCGGCGGCGATGACGACGCCGACGCCGACGACGGCGACGACGCCGACGACACCGACCACGCCGACGACGACGACAACGACGACGAAGACGACGACGACACCGACGACGACGACGACGACGAGGCCGACGCCGACGGATCTCTCGTGTTGGAGCTCTCGCGAGCCAGCCGGACTATGCAGCATACAGTACTCCATATTTGAATGTCCCGGCCGCGCGGCCCGATGCGCCCGAGAGGGCCGGGCCGCGTGCCAACCGGACAATGCAGCATACGCTACTCCATATTTGAACGTCCCGCCCGCCCGACTCAACCAGCACGTGAGGGCCTGGCCCGCTCGGCGTGGCCTGGCCGTTGGTGCTCTCGCGTGACAACGGGACGATGCAGCATACGGCACTCTACATTTGAAAATGTCCCGCCCGTGAGGGCCCAGCCCGCTCGACAAGGCCCAGGCGTTGGGGCCCTCGCGTGACGACCAGACGACGCAGCATACTTTACATCATACTTTAATGTCCCGCCCGCCCCACCTGGCCCGCCCGTGAGTGGCCCGCCCGCTCGACCAGGCCCTGCCATTGGGGCTCTCGCGTCGCGTGACAGCCAGACGATGCAGAATCCCACCCGCCCGATCCGACCCGCCCCTGAGGGCCCGGCCCGCTCGACAAGTTCCGGGCGTTGGGTCTCTCGTGTGCCAGTCGGATAAAGCTGTATTCCATGCTTGAATGTCGCGTCCGCGCGAGCAAACCCGCCCGTCCAGGGCCCATCGCTCCAAAAGGCCCGCTCGTTGGGAGTTCGAATTCAGAACTGAAGCCAGATTTCGTCGTCGGCATCGTCGTCGGCGTCGTCGTCTGCGTCGTCGTCGTCGCAATCGCCGCCGCCGCCGCCGCCGTCGTCGTCGTCCTCGTCGTCGTCGTCGTCGTTGTTCTCGTCCTCGTCCTCGTCCTGGTCGTCGTCGGCGGCGGCGACGTCGGCGTCGGCGTCGGCGTCGGCGTTGGCGTCAGCGTCTTCGGCGTCGTCATCGTCATCGTCGTCGCTGCCCGACGGCGCCGGCGCCGGCGCCCGCCGAAGTCGGTTGCACGTGGGGGAAGGAGGGGGGTCTGTTCGAACCCCCCTGCAACTCAGGGAGGGGGGGGGCCAGTTCCCCCTTGGACATGGGGGAGGCCCTCCTGGTTCGATTCCCCCGCCCCCCTGCAGTGTTGGGGGAGGGGGGCCTCCTTGGTTCGGCCACCCCCCTCCTTGGCGCTAAGGGGGAAGAGCGGTTCGAGACCCCCTCTCGTGGAGGAGGAGGGCCCCCCGGTTAGGGAGGCCAGTATTCATCGGAGGGGACCCCCCTTGTCTCTCCAGGGGCGCTCAATGGTTTGGGGGGGGGGCGGCCGGGTCAAATGTGTCAAGTGTTTTTTTTCCAGGCAAGCGTCCACGAAACGCGTTCTCTCAGAGGTCTCGACCCTTTCGCCACAGCCAGTTTCTCATCCTGGGTATTTTTTTGCAAGCCCCGCGGGACTAAAACGGTTCCCAGAGTGTAAAAACTTCGACAACAGCAAAAACACAAAATGCTTGCCCAGCAGCTGTCATGTGAGCATCGTCCCCACTGTTCCTGTCCCCGCCTCGGGCGTGTCGGAACGATCCCCCAAAGGTCTCACCCGGAGAAGCTCCACGGCCAGGAGGATCTCCGCCTTGCGGCGGCGGAGCAGCTTGATCGCCAAGCTCGCGGCGGCCTCGGTCGGCGAAGTCGTTGTCGTCGCTCGGGAAACCCACGGTCACCCGACGGACTGAGCCCGACGCGGCGAGGACCATGGCAGACCAACCGTAATTGCGGGGAAGGGGGTCCGAAACCTCTCGCAAACCCATCGGTCTCACCCCCCCGTCTCAAGAGATCGTCGATGCAATGCGTACTCCAGGGGGGCCAGGAACACAGATAACCCAGCAGTTGGTGGTCGGCGTGTGGAGGGGGTGGTCGAGGAGGGTCGCGGAGTGTCAACGAAGCGGGTGGTCGAGGAGGGTCGAGAGCTGCTCTTCATGAGCAGGGAGCATCGTGGCACCACCGGTCATTTTGGCAGGGCGGTCCAGGTGTTCCACTTGAGGTACCCTCCAGCTTATGACCCGGAGGATCAGGTTTCCGACAGCTGTACGGATGGAGAGCGGTGCCGCTTGCGACAGCCATACATGCTACGATCCAACCTAGACAAATCACAACGGCTGCACGGATGGAGGGCGAACGACTTCAAGTTCGGTCTCTCCGTTTCGGGTTGACAGCATTTTGATCACAAAGGTTGACACGCACTGCAGTTACACCGATGAAGGACGGGTCATGTTCAAAAGCTTGTTCCTCGTTTTGTCGCAACGAAAAATACGCATCAAAGAACCTGCCAGCTATATGGATGGATGGTGGTTGCCTCTCACGGGCACGTCATTGACGCGGCCGAGTTGCACCTGCGCCGCGCACCACCGGCAGGGTTAGCAGCTGGCTGCCATTATTGTGGCCCGGCTTCTTCTCATGACCAGGCCACCGACGCTTGGCATCGTTCGGACGTGTGCATTTCTCTTCCTGGCGAGGACCATCGAGGAGCCTCCTGGGGCATGTTGAGCAAAAGCGCACGACGGCTTCGAATCATGCACGGGGAACGGACGTCCGACGATAGCGAGCAGGGGCCTGGCTTCCCGAGCATCCTCACGTCCCGCACCTCTGGCGGGGCCATTGGAATGGCGTGCGTTCGCCGCAGTGACAATTAAAGTACTGCAGCGGTTTGCACGAAGGGAGTTCGGGGCATGAAGGTTGCAGCGTCAGCGATGCGCGTTGGGATACGATTGTCCTCATTATCAGTCTCCTGCTCCTCCTCCTCCTCCTCTTCCGCCCCCATCCTCCCCCTCCTCCTCCTCCTCCATTTCCTCCTTCTCCTCCTCCCCCTCCTCATCGGCAAAGTGACTGAAGCCTTCGATGCTGCCGCTAGCCTCGCATTCCTCTCTCTCTCTCAAGCCTCGCAAGTGTGCTGCCGTCGCTCTTAGGGCGGCAGCGTCGCCTGCCACCATTGCCCATACCCAGGACCTGCTTTCCGCGGTCGCGCCCTCCTGGCGTGCGTTTTCGATCGAGGGGCGTGCCAAATACCTCGGGATGTTCCTTGGCCCGTCGGCCTCCTTGGCTGACCAATGACAGGCCCTTGTGCAGAAATGGTGGCAGCGCGCGCACTCGCTTCAGCATGTGCATTCTGGAAGCGATGTCACGGCTCGTCTCTATAACACGTCTGTTTTGTCTACGCTTAGCTATTCGGGCTAGCTTTCTCAGTCCCAGCATCCATCGTTCGCCGTGAGCATCACATTTTCCACACTATGCTAGCTTTGACGCGACATACTTTCCGCAAGGTTGACTTTCTCGCGATGGCGGATTGGTCGCCGCCTCCTGTACTCCGCTCGATTCAGGTCACGCCTGCCGCTGGCGCCGCTCGTTCAGCATCGCACACTTTGGCCGCGCTCTAGGAGCCGCATTTCTTTCGGCTCCGCGACACAGCGTGGGAGGAAAACACTGTTCACTCTTTCCATCGTTGGGTGGGCGGGCTGTGGTCTCCCAGGTTTTGGGAGCAAACGCGCCACTGTGCAGTACTAGGCCCAGCTGCAAGACGCGCAGCGCACTCCCCCATTCACACCAGCGATGATGCAAGCCGCTCACCGCGCAGCGCTCGCGGACAAGGCTTTGGCGTTGGAAGCCCAGCCGCCGCGCCGCCACCACTTTCAGAGAGCTTTTGCGGCTTCCCTCCGCAAGTCCGCATTCGCCTCGCTATTCATGGTCACCCTCGCGAAGCGGGTTGGCGCGTGGGGTCTACAGATTGCACCCGGGCTGCTGTCCGAGCGATGAGAATCGCTCACCAATTCTTTGCGTCGTGTTCGCCCCAGCTGGCGAAGGGATGCTCTCAAGACCCTGGCCGGCGGGTGGACGACCACCGCCCGCATGCACGTGCTCGCGCCGCGCAGCTGCGTATTCGGCTGCTGCGAGCAACCAGGCTCATTCCCCCACTACCTCTCCTGCCCTCGCCTCTTGTGCCTCCTGTGGTCCCCTGATCCTCCACCCATCATCAGCACGCTGACGAGCTGGGGGCTGAGCCCCGCAGCAGCCTACCCGCCTGCGCCAAGCGATATGTTGCTCCAGGCCACCATCCGGCGCAGAATCCTTGCGCTCCACCTCTATGATCAGCACAGAACGGCCACGGCCAGCCAGCCAAACGCGCTGCTGGCTGCTGCCCGCGCTCTCGTCGTGCACGAGCTAAATATTCTGCCTAGCGCGCGGCGGTCGAGCCCCCTGAGGCCCAGGAGACACGCTCGCCTTTGGCTACCCGCACTCATCCCCCTCCTCCTCCTGCGCAGTCTCTGGGGGGGAGTCCGCAGCTACTTCGGTCCAAGATGGTTATTCCGCAGGGGATTTCCATGGCCACCGCTAGTCGGCGGCTAGCTAAGTATACCACAGCCAGGAGCGAGTTGCGTCCCAGTTATTTTGTCCACATTATCATCGAGTCGTGGGTGACTTTGATGCCGGGTCATATTTCCTTGCCCCCCCACGTATCTCGCCATCTTTGGGCAGAGGGTTTTGACAGTTGAAACGAAGGATAGCACCCGAGAGGAAGCGGACACCTTCTTCATGGAAAAGCATGATACGTCGGAAAAAAAGGAGTTCGGCATCACGCGCACCAGCGACAGGACACTTCTGCATCGGAACTGAAGGGCACGGCTGGGATTTCAAATCCGCAAACAGATCTTGGCCATCAGCACACCTGATGATCGTCACGGCAATGGAAGAATGGCCAGCTGCAGAACAGTGCAAGTTCGTCGGCCAGTGCAAACTTGAATGCGACGCCTTCGAGAAGAAGCCCACCGCGGGCTTTGGAAGATATGATAGACAGAGGCATAACCACGCGCGACACAAGGCATTCCAAACATTCCAGAACGGCCCTTGGCACTGGCGGCGCCCCCGCGCCGATTGCCCAAGTCATTGGCGAGTCCTCTCAGCGGGCGCATCGTCACTTCAGTGGTGTTCAGACGAGTTCAGGGACCTCTCGCAGGATTTCTCCGTGGATCGGGCTCAAATGGGGCACCTCTCACCGCGCGGACCCCTTGACGAGGTGGAATAAGGCCTCCTGGCGATAGCAGACGCGGGGGCCGCCAGAGGAGCCGCGGGCGAGATGGCCGCCAGGATCTTCGCCCCCGCCCCGACCTGGTGGAGCAGGCAGCAGAGCCGCCGGCACCGACGGCGTCTGCTTCCTGACCTGGAACGCCCATCCGCCATTTCTTCGATGGGCGCACTGCCCAGAAGCAGCTGCCCTTCCCTGCGCCAGAAGATCGCCGCGGGCAGCGCGGCCGCCTGCGCCCGAGAAGACGGCGGCAACAGACGCGCGCCCACGACGGCCGCCCAGGGGGCGGGCCGCCCCGCGGCGCCTCCGCGAACTGCCGCGGCAACGAGCGAGAGCGGGGCGCCGCCACTCCTCATCCCGGCGACTGTCTGCGCGCTGCGCCAGATTCGGGCTGGCGACGCGGGGGGCCCAGTCCACCGCGGTCGCATGGAACGCGCGCAAAAACGGCATGACCGGGGGACAAACTCGCCACGCGCGCTCGCTGATCCAGGCTTCGGTTGTCACCGGTCAGCCCATGGCCCCGACCGCCATGGCCCGCGCCCTTCGCAGTTGCAATATTTCAGACCAGGTGCCCGAGGACACAGCTTCTCCACGGCGAGTTCAGATTTCGGGCGAGGGAAGTCGGGCAAGCGACGGGCGGGGGCTCTTCGAGCCCATGACACGCCGCTGCGCTCCGGCAGACGAGGGCGAGGCAACGGCGACCCCGCCCCATGTCCAGGGCGATCGCCACCCGCTTTGCCAGGAGACAACCGTCGCGCGCGGGGGCATCCGCCGCGGCGCCGCGCCCGCACCTCCGCGAGCGCCCGCGCCCAGCGCCGGCGTCGAGCGGCGGGTTGCGAGGGTGGCGCGCGGCGCCAATTTGACTTTTCCCACGTCAATTGCTCGGGCAGCGAGTCGGCGGCGCGCGGGGCTCGCCCCGTTCGCCGAGGCCAGAGACGCGATGCCGCTCTGCTGCAATACGGCCGACAAAGCAGCCCCCCACGCGACGAGCGCCTCCCTGACCAAGGCAGCCAGCAGGGCCGGGGCCCGAACCCAGAACGGCATCATCAAGAAATGCCGGATTCGCCGCAACGTTGCGGGGATCAACTCGGCGACGAGAGCGGCCAGTCCTCGAAAGTGTCTTGCGGGGCCACTGGCCACCCGCGATTTCGAGCGGGCCCCCCCGAGCCTCTCCCAGGATTAGACGCCCACGCGCCCAACGCGCGCGCCACCTGGGCTCGCCAACTGCGCCCCGGGCATGCGCCAGCAGAATTTGGTGGCGCGGCTTGGCGCGGGGAGGAAATGGGGTCCAGTGCTGCATCTAGCCGGGGCCCTTCAAGAACGCCCGCTCAGCGGAAGTTCATGCGTCGACGCGGGCGGCCCCCGTCGACGAGCGCAAAACGAGCTCGTCGCGGCGTCGATTTGGCGGCGCGCCCACCGCTTCCTCCGCCGCGAGGAGCCCGCGCGAAGCTCGCCGCGCGTTCGGAGGCGAGCGCAAGGTCACGCCCTTCGCGGGGCGCCTAATCTTTTTGCTCGAGGCGCAAGCACTTGATCTGATCCAGTCCATTTCCGTCGAGCGAGGCCTCTTCCGAGCGGCGGGCAAGCTCGTTTACCCAGGCTGCACCGCGGTCCCGCAGTCGCGCTCCATCCGGGGCAAGCTGAAAGGGCGGGCCCCGTAGATCTCGCCCTTGGGCGTCGACGACCCAACGGGCTTCTTCCCGCGCCGAGCCCGCGGGGTCGCCCGCCAATCGGTTGCAGCGCGCACTTGCTGCCTCCCCCCACGGCGGCGCGCGCGGCTCAAACGAGACTCCCAGGCAAGCGCGATGCGCGTTGTCGAGGGCATTCGAATACATGGGAGTTCTGTTCAATTTGGAGAACGTGGGCGCCGAAGAGCACCGGTCTCGGAATGATCGCGGCGGCGGCGAGACAGCGGGCGGCCGCGCAAACCGCCCCGCAGCGGCGTGCATCCGCGGGCATTTGCACGAAACTGTGGGAAAATTGGATTCGTTGGATGCGATCAGCGAGCCTGGACTGAGAGGCGCTTCTGCCCCACCACTCTGTGAGCGGCCCCGGTGGCGCGCGCGGGGCAGGCGCCCGGAGGAGTCCTCTTCGGCGAGCGATGGGGCCGCGCGGGCAATCAGGTCAGCATCGGCAAGGGCACCGAGCGAGAGCGCATCGTTGGCCGGAGAGCCCCCAGCGCGAAGGGCGCCACCGTGCGGGGCGGTCTCCAAGCCCAGCTGGGCCGCCTTAGCAGATAGGCACGTTTTCCTCCGGCATCTGCGACCTGCTGACCCAACGGATTGACACATGATTTCTCTCGCTGCACACCGAGGTCTCATTCGACCGGACAAGCCCAAGGAATGGACGGCGATCCCAGCGCCCAGCTGGCGGACCACTGCGCAGACGTGGAGCGGCGGATGGACCACCAATCAAAAGACGCAGCAAGGCGCCGCGTGCATCTTCAATTGCAGGAGGGCGCTCAACATCATGACCCTCTGCATATGCAAGTGCAGCCCCTTTACACCAGACGGCCTCACTGCTCCTACGGTTTCTTTTTCCTGCTGGCGTTCATACCGTCTCGGCCTAGACCGAGAGAGCTTGGCATTCGCCGAGGCGCTGTGCCACTCGCACCGCGCCCTCTCACACTCTGGAGAAGCTGAGCGGGGGCCCCTCCCACAGAAAGGCCGAGCTCGACTGAGCTACGCGGCTGGATCAGAGACGTTTGCCGCCTTTGTCGCAGAAGTTCCAGCACCTGATGGCGACCTGAGCTCCCAGCCATACCGCCCCCTGGACATGGGCGAGGGCATGGGCGAACGTGAGTGTCGCCGAGCCCTTCTGCGACCCTTGCGACGACACCGAACCGTCGGACGAGCAGATGGAGGGCGACGGGGTGGACCACATCAACGAGATGCCGGCTTTTGAAAACTATGGTTGGATATCCGCCTTTTGCCCTCCGAACCCAGTGACGATTCCCTCGCGTCCGGCTGAGGCGCCGTGGCGCTCGCTGGTCCGTCCCCGCGCGAGCCCGCGCTTTGTCGCTCGCCCTTGTGCGCCAGCGGAATCCTGTCCCCCTTCCGTGGGGCCCACGGTTCATTGCATGAGTTTGTTTTTCGCAGGTCGGCTTGTGCGCTGTTCCCGCTTTGCCTGGCGATGGTTCGATTTGCGTGAACACATAAAACGTCCAGGAACGGGGAGGGGAGGGGGTGGGGAGGGATACGAGGAGAGGGAGGAGGACGAGACGGAGGAGGAGGAGGAGGAGGAGGAGGAAAAGGAGGAGGAGGAGGAGGAGGGCACTGGAAGAGGAAGGGCTCGGCCTGATTCGAGAGCTCAGGGGCCAGCGGTTCACAGTGGCGTGTTGACACCTTCTGCACCTCAGTCAGACCCAGCCACTCGCAGAGGGGGGCACGCGGGAGCGGGGGGAGGCTTCTTAGAAGCACCCTGCTTCTCTGCGGGCCCATCTATAGATGTAAAGCCGACGCCTTCTCAGAAGCAGCATCCTAAGACGAGTTCTCCCCTCCCCTTCCCCCCTTGTGCGAGCCGCCAACAGGCGCGCAGGGGTGCTGGCGGAAATGTCGGCCGACATCCGTCGTCTCCTGGGCGCTGGGGTCGACGTCGGGCGACGTCGGGGGGAGCGTGCCGATTTCGGCCAGACCTGTGGCCCCAGTTGGGCCGCAGACCCCGGTGCTCCCCGCGCTCGCCATCCCCGAGCGCCGCCGAAGACGAAAAAGTGCGCCCCGCGCGCGGAAGCGCGAGCAGCTGTAGCAGGCACGTCAGAGAGGAAACCCGCCTGCCCAGCGGGTGCCCCGCGGAAACATGTCACGCTATCCCCCGATGGTCCCGGGAGCACCGTAGGATTTTGGTGCACGTTAGGCAGCAGCCAGGCGCTTCAACGCCCATCGGCAGAAAAGATGTTGTGCAGATGTGCAGTGGCAGAGTGGTAGAAAATAATCGGCTGCAACCCTCTGTCTGTTGCGCTGGTGTGGGACAGCGAGAAGTCTCACGGAGCCCAAGGTCGACGAAGTGAGTACCACGAAATTCCCGAAGCAGCGTTGGTGCTCGAGAGCCCTTGTTCCGCGTTATGAGGAGCTGGCGCTGCGCGCCGCCGTGGGCCACTCGCGCGCTGGTGGGCTACATGGGGCACGCCAAAGACGAAGCTGGCCTGCCAACGAGTGCACCACGAGAGTCTCTCGTCTCCCGATGGGCCCACAGAGCCCAAGGCCACCGTGCAAAACTCTGAGCCGACGAGGGATGAACCTCTAGACTTGTAGCAGGAGTTCCCGCCGTCTGTGCCTACTGTGTGACTGGTGAGCCCCGCGCGCGAAAGGGCCCTGGATAAGATATAAGATCCTCCTCCTCCTCCTCCTCCTCGATCCTCCTCCTCGATGCTCCTCGATTCGATAATCTTCGGTTCGATACTCCTTGATTCTCCTCGATCCTCCTCCTCCTCCTCGATCCTCGATCCTCCTCCTCCTCCTCCTCGACCCTCGATCCTCCTCCTCCTCCTCCTCCTCGATCCTCCTCCTCCTCCTCCTCCTCCTCCTCCTCCTCCTCCTCCTCCTCCTCTTCCTCCTCCCCCTCATCCTCCTCCTCGATGCCTCAGGGTCTGGTGCCCCACAGTGCCCTGGGCGCCGCGGTCCGCCGTCCGCGCCCTGGTGCCCTGCGGCCGGTCCGGTGCCCTGTGGCCGGTGCCCTGCGCCAGGTGCACCATGCGCGGTGCCCTCTGGTTGGTGCCTTGCGTGTGGTGCCTGCCCGGGTGGGGCGATCCAAGCCTCGGGGGGCAAGAGGACATCAACTTTCTCGGATCGGCGCTTGAGCCCCCTGGCGCCGCCCTCGGCGCGCTCCGCGCGCTAGCGAAGGGGGGCGCAGCCAGCGCCGATTCAAGAAAATGCGCGCGGACCTCCGAAAGTCCTGTGAGATGGCGGAAGTAACAATTGTTTGGATCCATTGTTTCCGGAAGCCGTCAGATGGTTTGTGCCCTATGATTCGTGCAATTTGCTTGCACACCAGGGGTGCTAGAGCCAAAAGTTGGGAGTCCCCGCGCGTATCGTACGCCTCAGGTGTATGGACTTCCATATCCTCCTCCTCTCCCTCCTCCTTCTCCTCCACCTCGTCCTCCTCCTCCTCCCTCCTCCACCCTCCTCCTCATCCACCACCTCCTCCTCCTCCTCCTCCTCCTCCTCCTCCTCCTCCTCCTCCTCCTCCTCCTCCTCTTCCTCTTCCTCTTCCTCCTCCTCCTCCTCCTCCTCTTCCTCCTCCTCCTCCTCCTCCTCCTCCTCCTCCTCCCCCATTCCCCCTTCTCGGTGCCCCCCTCCTCCTTTCCCATCCTTGGGGAGGACGAGGCGGGGAGAGTTGGAGCGGCCCAGGCACCCTCGCGTTCCACTGCCGCGCCCAGCGCGGGCGCCCACGCCAGCCGGCGAAGCGCGGGCGCCGTGGCAGCGCCCAGAGGCCCCCGCCACCCCCGAGATCGCGTGTTCGCCACCGCCGCCTCCGTCGTCGAGCGAGCGAGCGGGCGAGGGTTCGAAGATCGAGGGGAGGGAAGGAGGGGGAGGAGGAGGAGAACCAGTGCAAACCCAAGACTCACCAACGATGTTGCAATTGGCCCATTTTAGGATTTATCTTCACTGAGGGAAATGCCCCCAACCGTCTGAAAATCTTGAACCGTGCCAGAACACGTCCTGACGATCCTCCAGCGAACCAGAGCACCATTCCGGAGAGCTCACCACCGCGAGTCTGTGTGACTGTTGCGCCCTGACAGTCCTACATCGTGCCAAAACACAATTTCTAGGACGTCAACCGTACGAACCCTTGAAACTGTTGTAAACTCTTGAGACGAATGTGCACCGCGCGAAGGCGATAGCCACACTCTAGAAATGAACCGCCTTCTTAAGACGAATGCGCGCGGCGCTAAGGTGAGAGCCACTCGCCCTCCATCCGTGAAGCTTCTGCAAACTTTGGAGACGAATGTTTGCGGCGCTAAGGCGAGACCGATATTTTGAAAATCGTTCGCCTTCCATCTGTGGACCTCTTGCAAAGTTCACGTTTGAGGATAATCAGCGGTGAGGACGTCTCAGGAGAAGCGCCCGGCCTGCCCTACCAACACGCCTCGGGGTGAGACAGGGAGGAGTTACGTATAAGGAATAGGAATGGAGGCGGAGGAGGAGGAGGAGAAGGAGGCATGAGGCAGGAGGCAAGAGGCAGGAGGCAGGAGGCGGGAGGACGAGGGCCAGGAGGAGACGGAGGACGAGAAGGTATCGGCCGCGTCTGGCCCAGACTCCAGAGCCACCAGAGTCGACGACGACGACGACGACGACGACGACGACGACGACGACGCATAGAGGCGCCGGGGAGCGCCCCTCGGCGCGCGCTGGCGGCGGCTCCGCGGAGCCCCCGCCGCCGCTGGGCGAGCTGGTCGAGCCGGCGAGCTTCCAGGAGGCCTCGCGCGGGTCGCCTTGGGGGAAGTTCAGAGCCCCGAGTCATCAAGGCTTGGGGCGGTCAGGGTCAGAGGCCAGCAACATATGTACACGTACGCGGTTAGCTTCCCCTGGAGGGCGTTTGAATGAGGACGTTCGTGCACTCAAGATCGCGGAGGGCGTACATGTACATATGTCGTTGCTCGCTCACAGGGGTATCTACAGATTCGCGCCTCGGGGGCCCAAACTGGACTTACCCCAGATCGCAGCGATCCCGGAGATTTCATGCGTTCAAGAGATGGGTCTTGAGGCAAACGTGCCCTGAGGTTTTCAGCTGTGTTTTGGCTTCCCGGGGCCCTCCACGGCGCCTTGGATTGTCAGAGATGGACTCAGGATGAAGAGTTGGCTTTGTGGAAAGCCCCAGGGTCCAGTATCTGTTTCCCTCAGGACCCCTTTTTCCCTCATCCATACGAACGAAGTCACGGGGGATCAGCGCTCATTCGAGGAATTCGCAGCCATGCGTTGAGGCGCCCTGATTTGGGAGCTGCTTTGCGGCTAACCTGGGTTCGCGACGTAGCCCTGGCGAACCCAGGTTTGCGCTGACCCGGGTTAGTGCGTCCCCGACTCGCCAGCGTCGTCGGCGACGTCTTCGCCGGCGTCAGCGTCAGGTGACGCAGATTTCTAACGCATGGAGACAACAAAACGTGAAGTTGTCCGTCGTCTTCTGCCCCGGGAGGCCCTCGCCAGGCCCCCGGACCGTACAAAAAACGGTTTAGAATGAAGAGCCGGTTTCGGGGAAGGGGTTCAGCCTTCGAGGGATGCCGCGTTGGGATAAATCAAGACGTCGGATCTCTGGAGAGCAGGCCGAACCGGCGAGCTTCCAGGAGGCCCCCCCGCTCCGCGAAGATCGCTAAAACAGGGATGGTATTCGAATTCTTTTTGCGCGCTGGACGCGTCAGCTCCAGATGAGCGACGCAAAACAAGGGGGTCGTCTGCGCCGATACTCGCGCGTAAGCTGCCCGCGTAAGGTCGCGCGTAAGCGCACTCGGCGAGGGCGGCCCGCGTAAGCCGCGGCGTAAAGGTCGCTACGTCATCTCGCGTAAGATCCGTTTTGATCGTCGCTCAGATGGTTCCCAGAGAGGCCCCAGAGGCTTCCACAAGTGGGCTCAACACGCCCCCAAGAGGGCCCAAGAAGATCCACGGCAGCCCAAGATGGCCTCCAGCTCGTCGACTCTTATCATTTCTTCCTCAAGGTTCGATGATCCAGGGCCGAGGCTCGGGGATCGAGCTCGAGAAACTGGTTAAGAACCGATCTTGGACGGGCTCTGGAAGAGAAGGAGGGAAGATCGAGGAGCTACGGTCGGGAAATTTAGCCTGACGTGTCGCGGCGCCACTTCTGGCCCACCAGACCTCGGCGTGACAAGCTAACAATGCCCCAGTCCCCAAGCGTCAACATGCCGAGCGTTTCTTGGCCGCCAGCCCCGCGTTTCAACGCACACCGTGTCACCGGGGCCGCCGCCGCGACACGCCATGCAGAGTTCACGGCCGGGGCTCGGGCCTTGGGGGGTCTCCTTGGGGCCTCCAGGGGCCGCCCGAAGACCTCCGATTTTGGCTCCAATGTGTTGTCCTCCTCGCCTGGACACCTTCGCATTTCTTTATGTTCGCTAATCCCCCGATCACTCCTCCTAACATCTTCGCCATCATCATCCTTGTCATCATCGTCACACGGAACCACACTCGTCATCACCAGCAGCATCATCCTCATCATCACCGTCATCAGCATCAGCATCAGCATCATCATCAGCAGCATCCTAATCGTCATCATCAGCAGCAGCATCGTCATCATCATCAGCAGCAGCACCAGCATCATTATCATCACCATCAAATCTCTATCAGCATCATCATCAGCATCATCAACCTTATCATCATCGGCAGCAGCAGCATCAGCATCGTCATCACCAGCATCATTATCATCAGCAGAATCATCACCATCATCAGCAGCAGCATCATCAGCATCATCATCGTCATCATCATTATCAGCAGCATCATCATCACCATCATCATCAGCATCAACATCATCATCATCATCACCATCATCATCATCATCATCATCATCATCATCAGCATCAGCATCAGCATCATCATCATCACCATCATCACCATCATCATCACCATCATCATCATCATCATCATCATCATCATCATCATCATCATCATCATCATCATCATCATCATCATTGTCATCCGTATTTCCATCGCCGTCATCTTCCATTGTCAATATGTTTCCGAATGGCCTTCGGCCAATCCCGCCACCGTGCCTGGGTTGTGGGTATGAAGCCTATTGGATGTTCGTTGGGATCTCGTGGGAGGCTTCTCGGGGGCCTCTTGAAATCAGTTTGGAGGCCTCATGGGCCCCGTTTTGGTGCCTCTTTTGGGCCTCTTGGGGGCCTCTTGTCGCCTCTTGGGGCCTCTTGGGGCCTCCTGGGTGCCTCCTGGGGCCTTACGAGGGCCTCTTGGGGCGGAAGGCCTGGATTTGCGGTTCGTGTTGCCCCTTTGGGGGCCGTCTTGGGGCCCTCTTGGGGCGCTCTTAGGCCGTCGTGGGGCCCTTTTGGAGGCCTCTTGGGCCGTTTCGGGGTGGTCTTGGGGGCCGCTTGGGCCGTCTTGGAGCGTCGGAAAGCCGAAAAGGCAAGAACGCCAACATCTTGCAAAAAACTAAGGAAAACCAATGATGTGTGCCTCCTAGGGCCTCTTGGAGGCCTCTTAGACCGTCTTGCAGGCCTCTTGGGCCGTGTTGAGGCCATCTTGGGCGTCTTGGAACGATCTTTCGGCGACTCGGGGCCCTCTTGGACCGTCTCGGGGGCCTTGAGGGTCTTCTGGGCCCGCCTTGGGGCTTTCACGGACCCGAAAAAATCATGCGACAAGCCGCGTGGAGCCTCAGGGAACCGCGGGAAGCCCCGCCAAATGTCTGAATTTGGGGTCCGGGCCCCTCAGAGATTTCGTAGGACTGACTGAGGACTGAGGCTCCAGGGTCAGGCAAAGGACCTGAGGACACGCCCACTTCGTGCCCAGAGGCACGGTGGCGGATCTTTCTGACCATCATCGTCACCATCACATTCTCAATTGATTCCGTTGTCATCCTCCCTCTTCATCCCTTCTCCTGGCCAGGGGCGCGTTTGCTCCAGCGGTTCCCATGTACCCCCCCCCTCCCTTCACCAGCTTGTCTCCTCCACAGAAGAGGAGGTGGAGGAGGAGGAGGAGGAAGAGGTAGCAAGGAGAAGGGGCCCTATCTGCTTCCCACCCGCATTGCTGCCTTTGGGGATCTCTCTCTCTCTCTCTTTCTCTCTCGATCTCTTCATTGACCTGTCTTGCCCTGGTATGTGCAGGGGCCGTTGTCATCATTGTTGTGGGCACATCTCAAATAAGCTGTCCGCGCCCGCTACTGGCCTCATTCCCAGCGTCTTGGCGACAGCTGCCCAGGGCATGTCTGCGAGGTGCGGCATTTGAGCCTCTCTCGTCCCCCTGCCCCTTTCCTGCTGGTGCATGGTAGAGGGTACTGCCTTCGCATTTCTGTCACCTTTCATGATCGTGCTTCTGAATTATTAACCCTCCGGTAGCGAGCAAGCGAGGAGGAGGAGGAGGAGGAGGAGGCGGAGGACTCCACCCGTTTCGTGCGGTGGTGGAAAGGCAAGGAGCGGGGTAAGGGCGAGAGAGAGGTGCGGGGAGAGGAGAGAGCAGTGCCCCCCCCCCTCCCTCCTGAGGAGGAGCAGCAGCAGGGGCGGGAGGAGGAAGAGACCCAAGAGGGGAGCGGAGCAGGACGATGGGCCGCGGCAGCAGCAGGGGGCAGGAGGAGTGGTAGCGACAGGAGGGATAGGAGGAGCATGGGGAGGAGGAGGTGATGTTGATGACGATGGTGGTGGTGATGATGATGATGCTTGTAGTGATGAGGATGGTGATGCGGCTGATGATAGTGTTAGTAGTGATGGTGATGCTGCTGACAAGTGTGGTAGTGGTGGTGAGAATGATGACAATGATCATGGTCGTGGTGATGATGGTGATGGTGATGAGGGTGATAGTGATAGCGATGGTGACGGTGATCATGATGGTGATGCTGGTGATGGTGATGATGATGATGATGATGATGATGCTGATGCTGATGCTGACTCTGCTGCTGCTGCTGCCACTGCTGCTGCTGCTGCTGATGATGATGCTTAGTATTGCTCTTCTTACGTTTTGTATTATAGCCAAGACGCTGAAATAAGGAACACATTGGATTCGGAAGGGGCTCGATGGTCCTCACGTCCTTCCGTGGTTGTTCCTCTAGCCCTTCTCGTGAACCCAGGGTTGTTTGAAGCCACAGAGGGGCTTCGTTCCTTATTTAGCGTTCCTTATTTCAGCAGCCCAACTGGACAATGCTGGTGATGGTGACGGTGATGCTGATGCTGATGATGATAACGTTGTTGATGAGAATGGCGATGATTCCGATGATGATGATGGTGATGATGATGTTCATGATGATGATGCTGGTGATGGTGATGATGATGCTGACGATGATGGTACTGGTGCTGATGCTGTTGATGGTGGTGATGATGATGCTGATGATGATGGTGGTGGTGGTGAGGATGATAATGATGATGATGCTGATGGTGTTGAGGATGATGATGATGATGATGATGATGGTGGTGATGATGATGATGATGATGATGATGATGATGATGATGATGATGATGATGATGATGATGATGATGATGATGATGCCGATGATGGTGATGGTGATGGTGGTGGTGGTGGTGGAGGTGGTGGTGGCGGTGAGGAGAAGGAGGAGGAGGAGGAGGAGGAGGGGGAGGAGGAGGAGGAGCAGACCTCCCCCCGTTTCGTGTTGTTGTGGAAGGGCAAGGAGCGGGGCAAGGGCGAGAGAGAGGTGCGGGGAGAGGAGGGAGCAGTGCCCCTGCCCCTTCCGAGGAGCAGCAGCAGCAGCGGAGGCGGGAGGAGCAAGAGCCCGAGGACGATGGGCCGCGGCAGCAG